ACTTTTGGACTGCGACAGAACATCAGCCAACTTGTTTCTTAGATTTACTTAACATGTAAAAGTGACGTCAGACGATCTTCTGTCGCAGTCTAAGGCCTTGTCTTCACGGGACGTTTTCATGGGATTTGTCCCAAGTTCGAATCGCAGGAATGAAACTTCTGGGATTTTTCCCAGTTACCGTCTCCACGGGACGAGGCTCATACGGTCCTGCAATTAGTTTGCGCGGGAAGATACATGAGATAAAGTCGAGTATTTAACCGGGATTAAAATAATAATTGCACTCAATTGACAATTAGACACACTATTTTAACGAAACAGACCTGAACAATGGAGTATTCAACAAAATATCGCACAATTCGTTTACACTTCTTCTTCCTCTCCCAGTGGGTCCTAGGAGTAAAAGGACCATACTTGGTACTGGGAAAAAATATTGATTAACTCAATATTTGTCCTAACTTCGTAAGTGGGATTTTTCTCTGGGACAAATCTCGTGAAAAGGCCCGTGGAGACAAGACCTAAGGGTGCGTAAACTTACGGACCCATCACGTTTTGAAATCTCTCCTCTTCATTTATTGCCCGCCATCGTAAAAAGAATTAAAATTAAGATTCGAAACGCTTTATCAAGGAGGGAAATTGAAATTTCAACGGGGCATGACAAAGAAATGTCTTCAAAAGAATGAGGGTGTAGATGACGAGGTTGAGGGACTCGAGTCTCGAGGACGACGGCGGCGGCGGGTCGAAATTGGTGGTGGTGACAAGGTTGCTGGGTAAAAGTGCTCCTCTTTCAAGTGGTTTCCTCCCCGGCTGCGACCTCAAGGAGCCGGCATCGATTCGCACGCCTAATTGCAATTAACATCGCCCGGCTCAGATACGCCTGATTCAAACACAACTATTGAAAACTAAGTCCTTCACATCTAGTCGCTAACGATCATTGAACTTACGGTTGGTGTCATTTTCATAGTTGCGACGCGACGATTAACCGGATTACATTTTGAAATCAGGATCTAATATTTTCGGCTGTTTTTAAAAACAAAGTATGTGCTATTAATCTTACTATGTGGACAAAGTCTCCTTATTTTTCTTCTTCTTTCTTACGTTCTTTCCTTCTTCTCCTCCTGTTCCTCCTGCTTCTTCTGCTCCTTGTTCTCCTAATCCTCCTAATCCTCCTCCTCCTCCTCCTCCTCCTCATTGCATATCTTCCTTGCTAGGTTCCTTCCTTTAATTTGTTCTCTTTTTCCTTTCGTTTTCTTCAACATTTTGTCTCTTCTTATTCTTGTCCTTTCTTCTCCTTCTTTTTTCTTTCTTTTTCTCTCTTCGTCATTCGTCTTCTTCTTCTTTCTTCGTCATTCGTCTTCTTTTTCTTTCTTCGTCTTTCGTCTCCTTCTTCTTCCTTATCATCTTCTTCTTTCTCTCTTCTTTACTCTGCCTCTTCTTCTTCATCGTCATCTCAGTTTTTTCTCCCTATTTTCCCCCTTTTTATTATCTTCTTCATAGACTACTATTACTACTACCACTACTACAATTTCCTCATTTTCATCACTGGAAAAAAAAAACACATTGGATCTAGAGTCCAGACTCTTGAAAACATTGACAAGAAAAAATACTCTTGATTCAATCGGATTTTAGCTTGAATCAAATCGAAATACGCTTAAATTAAGAGGCTTGGTTCTTGATTTAAGCTAGATTCTGATTGAATCAAGAATACTTTTTCTTGTCGATGTTTTTAAGAGTCTGGACTCTAGATCCAATGTGTTTTTTTCCAGCGTTCTTCGCCTTTCTCTCTTTCTTGCTCTGCCTCTTTAGAGGCTTTAAAGTATAACCCAGAAAGCAATGGGGTCCAAATGAATGATTTACCTAGCCACCTCGGTATTGCATACCGCGCTTAAAAAAGAAAAATCTTTAAAATTAGCATGTTTCACTACACTGGGTGCGTGGGGTTCCACCGCAGCGCAGAGCGACTATTTTCCGGGGAGAGACTGCGAAAAAGAAGCGCTGCAGTTGAGCGGTGGTAACGGATGGCGGCGAGGATCGCGAGCAATAATCCTGTATCTAAATTGCGGAGCGGAAGAGTCATATTTCAGAAAAACTCGTGAGTTATGATTGTCGATGGTCGCAGCGGGGCACCGCGCAGAATGATAAGCCGGACAGGGGAAACATTTCCTTTTGGGAAAGAGCCAATCAGCTACACTTCGCAAGATTTCATTAATCAGCGAATTAGGGGATGTGTTCCGACCCGGACCCACCACCCGATCCCTGTTCCGCTACCCCGACCTACCCCGCGCCGACCCCGGACGGACCCGGCGAACCTATTTCTTACTGCATCCCTGTCGATAAAACAAATATTCGTGAACGGGATCCGCAGACGTTGTCGGACTTTTCCTCTCTTTTTTTCGCATCCTTGTTGGATATGACGCAACAGGGCACACACTGGAAAAAAAACGCATTGGATCTAGAGTCCAGACTCTTGAAAACATTGACGAGAAAAATTACTCTTGATTCAATCAGAGTTTTGCTTAAATCAAAAGGGAACCCGCTCAAATTAAGAGGCTTGGTTCTTGATTTAAGCAAAAATCCGATTGAGTCAAGAGTATTTTTTCTTGTCGATGCTTCTAAGAGTCTGGACTCTAGATCCAATGTGCTTTTTTTCCAGTGCAAAATATGTGAACGCGTGAAAATCCTAGTAGCATCGGTTGCTAAAAAATAAGTTAAAAAAATAAATTAAAAAAAACTCTCAAACAAAAAAAAAAAAACTGTTGAAGTATCCGAGGTAGGAGACCCCTTTTCTTCTATTTTGCATAAAAACGCCACTTTGCATTTTTAAAAGTTTTTTAGCGCTTAATTTCGGTAAATTCACATTTTACGGAAATTTTACATAAATTAGAATTTATATGTTCCATATCGTTTATTACATTTTGTGTTTAACATCCATATAAAAGATTTTTAGAATGCGACAAAATTTTGATGCTAATTTTAATCATAATTTTTTACAGTCCGATTTCAACGGTCAATGCGTCACAGAGAAACTAAAAATTTAAAAAAATAAAAAACGTGCAGTGGATTTACGCATTATTTCTTGAAAAACATGTGTTCTTTCAAGAATAAAAAAGTTGCTCTGTATGATTTAGATGTCAGATAATACGCATCGAGTACTTTTAAGGGCAAACACCGAAACGTCTACAGTACTGACTCATACGTATATTTTTAGTTTTTTTATAAGTTCAAGAAAAAAACAAATCGAATTTAGTTGAAAGGCTCTTTCTTTTGGGCGCTAATACTTTCAAATAACATTATCCACGCACACCATCATTCATAAACCAATACACGCTCTGTGATTGTTAGGATTTGTAATTCCTATTCTAATTTTCAGAAATGAATAAACATCATCTTTGAAAAATAAATGCGTTTCTTTTTTCTTTTCAGGTCCTCTTTGTTCCCTCCTTCCAAAATATATTTCCCTAGGAAATACTCGTATTTCGATATAGTTCTGTCAACGCGGGATCAAAACTGATGCCCTTAATCCAGAATATCCGCCTGCCTTTATACATACGTCAAGGTCCTCCCGCACTTCTTTGGCCGCCCTCAAGGTGCAACTCCGACCCATATTATTTAATTTCATTAATAGAGAGAAGAAAAAACTGAGAGCTGCAGCAAGAGGAACATTAATGAGCCGGCGTCCATCCAATTCGTGGATGAAAGGATCCTACGGGGTCGGGTTGAAATCGCGGCTATCTTTCCATTTGTTTACATTTAATTCCGCTAAAAAGCTTCGACGCTTATCCGACTTGGAACAACGTTTTAACAACGTCTTCCGAAGCTCGGAAATGCTTACCGGAACAACGTTGCCGTTCCGTCTGTAATATATATGTTTTGTACTGTGTTTCTCGGGGAGAGGATTTCCCGATTTCCGGCTTGATCAGCAACCCAGCACTAGATAGCTCTAGCGTCAGACAATGCTGATATTGCCTCTTATCACTCCCTTAGAAACGACTGTAACCATTCAAGACGCTATTGGACATTGCTGCCGTGCCGTTGAGCTAAGTTCTAGAGAAAAAGCTGTGCTCGTCTGATTCTGTACATTTTTACTTTCTTGCGGGCCGATTATTGAAACTTGTAGACAAAGGTATAGACAAAGACGACAAAAGGGATTTGGAGGGATCCTAATGGTGAAAGCAGGTGGTGGCAATGGACATAGGAGGTAGGTAATTGACTAACTAACGGCAACCCACTAAAGACCCGACAGTTAGTCCATCATTTTCTTCCTTAGTCTGTAAGAACCAACCATGTCAACCAATAGGATCGCTCCATACTCCCTAGGTCTTCTTTGTCTATCGCTTTGTCCATCAGTTTCAATAATCGGCCCGCTGAACGGAGACAGATCTGTTGGATCAGTAAAAATTACAATGGGTCAGTTGCGCTGGTCACAGAATCGTGTTTTGATGCCTGGTTTTAGTAGATTAGCTAAAAGTAATAAGATCTGGCCAAACAGCAACTTTTTATGTTCAATATTAACAGAGATATCGCTCATTAAGGAGTTGGGTTTTTGACGTCATCCACCACGGTAATGACACCCTTGGTTTCTTCCACCTTGCTTCCATCAGTCTGTGTGCCACTTATATGCACTGGTTGTTCAATGTGAAACGTAGATGAAAGCAAGGTGGAAGAAATCAAGGGCGTCACTACCACGATGGATGACGTCACAAACCTAACTTTTCATAGGGCGATATCTTTTTTAGTACTAAGCGCACAAAGTTACTGTTTAAACATATCTTATTATTTTTAGTTGATCTACCAGATTCAAGCATCAAACCAAAATTCTTTGACCAGCACATCTGACCCATTCCAGGACAAAACTTTCCGCTAGGTCAATGAGGAATCTCCCTGTTTCTGAAGGTATTTCTGTTATTCCAAAAAGACGTCCTGCTTTACTGAAGAAATTTCCGGTTGCAGATACGCAGCAAACCTGTAAGATCTTAAAATATCATTAAACAAGATCGACTCACGATATATGTTCAACGTCCACAAGTGCTCCAAAGATCCAGCTCGACAAGCCAGCGTTTTTCCCGTGTCTCCTAATTTCGGTATAAATTTTAAGGTGCTGATCGTGCTATTGTCATCTACCAGAACCTGTGACAAAAAAATAAATTTTTTATTCTGATTATTAAAATACCGAATAGAGGAAGAAAATATCCTGCGAGGGAATTTCAGTTCCGTTACATGTATGAATGTAACACCTTAGATACCAGGAACGTTTGTATCGATAGGCGTCGTGTAGTTCCATTTATATTCATTGTTTTAGGTACTTTGCTACTGTTTCCGATTTTCCATCGGTAGCAAGATTCAACGACGTTGTAAGAGAGCAAAAAGTCAATTTATGGATATTTCTCAAAAATTCATCCATTTTCGAAAAAAATGCAGCCTTCTTTGCATTGTCTCGACAAACTTCATCTTTGAAAATGCCACGGAAGAGTACGGCTACAATTCTGTACGTGCATAGAGTGATATTTGAGCGTATTCATACTAAGCAGCACTAGATGCGGATCCATTACGTGATAAGGAACTATGAGGACTTTAAAAGTTATATACGTAGTTCCTTTTGATTAAATCTTTTAGCACCTTATTTCTTCGAGCGTCCAAATACGAGTTGATACGTCTCATTTTATGAGAGGGGTCTCACCGGGGAAATGTCATCACAAAAATAACGAAATTATCTAGTGCAAACATGTCAAAATATGGAGCTTTTGCGGCCTAAAAGTACAGCCAACCTTCTAACGCAAAACATGTCACTGTCAATCTTCAGATTCCAATATCAAACCAAAATGGCCAAACTTGTTCATGAATGAGAGTTCTTCAGCAAATGTTAGTACATGCGTATGCGAAAACTAAGTTAGATACCAATGGCGTGGCGTGAATTGCGATGTATAGATTGTTATGTCATTTAAACCTATGGTAAAGAATCGATTATTAAGGTGTTCGCTGCGAACACCCTGTTAATCGATCCTTTTCCGTAGGTTTAAATGATGGATCAATCGATACATCGCAAAGCACGCCACGCCACTGTTAGATATATGCTTTGCAAACAACGGGTCGTAACAATTGTAAAAATAAATGACTCCGGATAATTTGAATTCAAAGGTTGGTTGCCCTTTTTGGCCCTAGAAGCTCCATGACCTAAACTCAAAATGGGCCTGTTGCATGCAAGAGATACAGCCGTGCGAATAGACTTTCTAGAGGTTAAATGACACGAAAATTACGATGGTCACATTAAAAAAGTCTGAAATACACTCCTTACTGCTTTTCAAATTTCCCGCGTCTGGGGGCAGTTTTCTAACGGAAACAATTAACGGCAACTCGCGGCTACTTCCGGTCAACTAAAACTGACAACATAACCTAAAAATCGGAGCTCGTGACATCGTGAAATGAAATATAGAAGGATTGCGTTGGATATTTAAAAGTTGATCGATTTGGTTACCGCATAAAGCGTATATGGACCACTATAGAAGATCACGTTGGGTTTGTTAACAAACTGAAGGAAAAAATAACAACAACAACAACAACGACTCGGCATCTTCCGGAAATCACCGAGCCCGCCGTTTGCTCGTTTCCGGTGATTAGAAAACTGCCCCCAGACGCGGGAAATTTGAACAAGCGCGTTCCTAACAACGCAAATTGCGCAGTAAGGAGTGTATTTCAGACTTTTTTAATGTGACCATCGTAATTTTCGTGTCATTTAACCTTTAAAAAGTCTATTCGCGCGGCTGTATCTCTTGCATGCAACAGGCCCATTACCAACATGTCCGTACTGTCCCTCTCTTGGTGCTCTACCATGTCTATTTTAGGGACAGATTATCGATAATGTTAAGGAGATGACATTATCTTACCGGTTCTTTGGCAGTGTGAAGTTGTTTTGCATCCAGCCACCACGTCACGTTCGGCTTTGGCCGTGCCCCGATCACCTCACACACGATTTCGTATGAGGTATCGGCTGACAAAGGGTGTTGCTCGTTCTTCAGGCGCACCATCAACGGCGGAACTGTGAACACACAAAAAGCAAAAGTAAGACAACTATTATGGGGTTTTGATCTGTACACTACATGACAGCCCAATTCAACGTTATATTGACCGCAACTTCGCATTAAAAACTTCGACTGAAGTGTGTGATTGACGCTGGTTGCGCGTGCTTCATCGTCTGTCTGACTTGCGGCCGACCAAAACGCCTTCAATCAGTTGGGTATACTACAAATATACCTAAGAGTTAAAATAGTTGTATCGCCCCCTTGTTGCGTTGTCATCGAGTCAGTAGCTTCTGATTCTGTCTAAAGGGCACGGAAAAGACCTTATTTGATTAGAAACTAAGTCCTGCTTGCGAAGAACATCTCCTTAAGTTCTCATTAACTTATTTATTTTATTCGTTCTTTATTTGTGCTTTTAAATCCTCACATTATTAACATCCTTTGATGTTTAAATTTCTATAAAGAACTAAATTATTATTATCATTTGCATTCTCAGGAATATAATTTGAGTTTTTATGCATGTTTTTGAAAATATTTTATCTCTGTAGTTGGTTCTCATCTTCTTTTTGGTTACTTTATTATAATGTCGAAATTGTTTGTAAAAAATAAACCTTTCGATGGCGAGCGTGTAAGCAACAAATATTCTCGTTGACTTTCCAAACAGTCTGGTGTCTGTCAAGCACCTCTAAACTGACTTCACGATAGTCTACGCGTTAATTTATCTTGCGCTAAACTTAAAGGAAACTTGAGTTCAAGTCAAACCTAAAGTTTCCGGATTTCAATCATTGGCAATGATCACAGTAATAGACAATCTTTGCCGTGCTAATGCTAGGTTGCATTCATTATGATGATCTTGTGAATGGGGTTCAAATGAATTAAAATTCTGTACTCCGCTTCATCAAGAAACTAAGCTGAAACACCAAACTGCCGATCTGATCGTGTTTAAGAGGTGTTCTGCCTCACCCCTCATTGCATTCAACACCACACTCACACACACTAATAGAGACAAACGCCCATAGCGCACACTTGCAGCTGCATAGCGCACGCACGTGCACAATCTGCACCCGCCCTCTTCCGTTATCACCCTACCATGCCCGTTCACCCCTCTCCTTGTGTGCCTAGCGGGATAGTCTTTTTGCGATTGCCTTGCGTCCCTGCGTGATATGAAACTAATTACTCCTCTTGAAAATTTGAATGGATGGGGCATTCCCAGTGTTGCGATTTTCTTCCTTTTTTCGACGAGATTAAATAATTCTAGTCTATTTTTTAAAGAGCTAATTTAGGAGTCGATTTTCAGTTTCTGTGAAACTATTGAATAGGAACTCATTAGAAAAACAGACGAGGAAAAAGGGAGCGTACGATTTTACGCTAAATGTAAATCAACACTTCTATTTCATATTCAAACGTATTTATGCCAAAAGGAATTATGAGCAAAGGATTTGAGGGCAACATAGTTCTTTTCAGCGCAAATACGTCCATTCAGTTCCACGTCATACCCACAGTCACATAGTTCATACTTCCGTGTTTCGGAAAAACACTGCGTGAACATTCCAATGTTGCCAAATTTCCTCGATGAAAAATTTACTTTCAAAGAAAGTTATGCATATTTTTCCTTGACATTTTTTGATAATTTAGATTCAACTGCAAACAAAATCTTTTGAAATATTTGTAGTGAAAAATTCACAACTTTTCCTCAATTTCCTTGATAACTCCAAAATGTGCCTTTTGACTTAAAAGCCACAAGAAATGTCATGAAAACTGACGTGTTAAAAGCGTAAAATACGATTCATTGAAAGAGTGTCAATTTCCGGTCGATCAAATAATGAAAAAATAGGGCTCCATCGCCAACATTACCGAAAAACGTATGAAACTTTATTCTTTATCATTTGAAAAAAGATATTCCAAATTAAATGTTTTAAATTAAACTTGACGCATACACGCAACACAACTTTCATGATTTTTGAAGTTAATTCACTTTTTTGGAGAAATTTGATGCGGCACTTTGTATGAGGCTACTTAAATTCATGATCTGAAATTTCTTGGGAGATTACGAGATCAGATTGGAATAATATTATTGAACACACTTGTTCACCTGAGATTTATACTACTTTTCAGAGGACACAATAACACGGAAAGAATGAGAGTATCAAAAGTAGAAAGAGTAGTGTGGTGTTTATAATATATATATTAATCATTAGCAATAGAGAAGGAGAGGTAGAATAATATATATATTAATCATTAGCAATAGAGAAGGAGAGGTAGAATAATATATATATTAATCATTAGCAATAGAGAAGGATAGAGAAGGGTTGCTGTCTTCGCGCTCAAAAAATGGATCGGAGATTTGAGAGTTGCGATCCACGAGTCTGAATTCCCTCCAGTGCACATTATCTTCGAACGCTAAGATTTTCAGTTTATTTTCGTTTACTTTGTTTCGGCCTCAACTTCCGGGCGCTTTTGTTTTATTGGCCTACGGGGCCTCGTATTTTAAACCGCCTATAAATTTAAACACAGGAGATTCTTTCGGCAGTCGCTCCTAAATTACTCGAAGGAATGCGGCGCGGACAAGAGCATGCAACAAAGTTCCTTCCGTCCCCGCATTTTCTCACAACTACGGATTTAAATGAAATAATAATAATTCATTCTATTCGATAAATTCAAAATTTCATAGGCATCGATGGATTAATTCATTTTGTTTTCAGTTTCTTCTCTTTAAGTATGCTTCGCTAACTGGAAAGAAACCTTTGAGGAGCCGTTCAAGTATTCTGTCGCACAAGGGAGAACGCCATATGAGCCTCTAGGTGTAGCAAAATTTCCTCCGATAAAATACGAATTTTCGAAGAAATTTTTGGATGTTTTCTTTCAAATTTTCAGAGAATTTCACTCGCAATTTGATTTAAAGTTTGAGAGGTCCAGCTATTTTTCAAGCTTTCACCGTTATTTTCTTACGAATTTGGAGGAGGGAAGGGATTGGGCCGGCCTTGCGTAAGAAAAGAAGGGAACACGAGCGGTCATTTTACAAGTGTCTTACAAGGAAAGGAAGGGGGTGTAAAAATCGTAGAGGGATAATTGCATTTAATTAAACATTCACGAAGACTGCTATAATTGATCCGATGACAAAAGAATGAATCAGCCATAAAACAAGTTCTCCTGATATAATATCATTAGTAAACGCTGTTCTTATTTACTTTCATCCGATATGAAGTTTAACCCGTGTAAAGGCGTAAAATAAGGAATCGTAACAAATACATAAATAAATTAAACGGAGAAGGTCTAAACGAAGCGCGGAAGTGTAATTATTTATTCAAGGTTGAAAAGAGGACGACTTACTGAAAGAGGCTTTTAAGTGTAAAGTTAAAGTACTCTCAGACTGGAAAAGCAAGACATAAATATTTGCAGTAAAATATGACAGGCGTCTCGATGTTATTCTCTTTGTTATTGATGATTAATTCCTCCTAGCACAACAGAGTATCTTACTTTTTGCCCTCCCTCCAGCTCTGCATCTGCACCGCCTCCCTTGAGCCATTCATCGCTTCCCACTTCCACCCCCTCTTGAAGAGCTTTCCAGCCTTCAATTGGTGCTCCTCTTCCGAGAGGAATCCGATACAATAAAAATAAAGCAAGATATTTCTCATTAAAAGTGCATTATGCATTAACAGAGAAGCAATTCCTCCTCCTCAAGTAGAATACCCTCGATCTCAGATAGCTTCCCCTATTTTAATAAATGAGTCTATGTTTAGAGGCGCTGAACTCGTAATTCGTCATCATTTGTTTCGTCTTACTGATTCTTTCTAAAATATTGAGTCTAATATCAAAAGTGCGCCTCGAATACAACTGGAATGCTACTGCGTGCGTCATAACAATCAGAAAATATTTTTAAAGCCTGCAGTCATTTCATAAAATAAAGATTCATTGGGAGCATCAAACTTATGTTTGTTATACATATCGACGGTGAAAGTCGGCAATCACATAACTCGTTTGCGGTGTCTAAAAATCTCCGCCTCTACGTCATTTTTTTAAAGGAGAACGAATTGATATTATTTCTTGAAGTTTTTGCAGAATTTTCTTCGCATTGAGAAGAAAAATCATGACAGTTTTAAAGAATTGCCGTTGAGTAGTTTTCCATTTAAAAAATAAAGTATGACAGGAAGTCTGCGACGTCGCAAACCGAGTTATGTGATTGCCGACTTTCACCGTCGATATGTAATTTGAGTGAACACCATGCACTAACCTATTTTTCATTCTTTTTTTACTACTACTGATACTACCTACTTCGAATACCAAACTAGTGATAATCCTAAATTTTCAGTTAGAAGTCCATCCCCTCAGTCCCTACTACACAGCAAATCCCAGGCAACCGTTGTTTGTGATCATACAAGTCGGGTGATGGTGGTCATCTGTCCGGGAGTCGAACCCAGGTCGGACCCTCCTAGTAATAGAGCCTATAACCACTACACAATAGGAGGCCGAAGTTGAAAAATGTGCGCATGACAAAACGTATCATGTATTTTATATTCGTGAACAACAGCTATTCCAAAATGTATTAACACAAATTTTATTTTGGTATCTTATCAATGCTACGCACGTTTTTACTCACGCCATGTTATAACCAAAGATATAAAACTGAGGCACTAATGAGTGGAAAGGTAGGTTCTAAGTAAGTTTTGAAAGCTCAATCACCCATTTGAGTTAGTTCAGTAGAGAACGGAGGTAGATACAGACAAAAAATTAGAGGAATTGCTGTTTTGGTCCAAAGTAAAAAGATAAACAAACAAAAAAAATTTCCAGAATATTAGATAGTGCACTTAATAAGGCCGAAAATTCGAAACCACTCACTTGCATAAATCGTAAAATAATTACAATTTGGACGCATTTCGGAGGTGCCTAACCTCCGTTCTCAGCGTGACCCCGGAGTCGCAGAATTTTAATTATTTTACGATTCATGCAAGTGAGTGGTGTCGAGTTTTTAATTTGTTTTTAACCAATTTCAACGTTACTTGTGTAGTGGATTATACTTCTA